ATTATATAGAACAGAGTTTCTCAACCTCAGCACTATTGATGAAAACTTTTGGGCTAGATAATCACTTTGGGTGCATATGGAGGGGGAGAGGGGGATTTTCCTGGATCTCAGAGGATGGTTAGCAACATCCCTGACCTATGCCCACTAGATAGCTCACCTCCCCACATATGTGACGACAAACAAGATTTCTAAAAGTTGCCTCTGATTGAGAAGCACTGGTTTAGACCTATTGCTTATGCATATTTATATGTATGTGTGTACATATACAGAGGGTGCCAAAAAATGTATATATATTTTAAGAAAGGAGAAAACTCTATTAAAATTATAGTGCTCAATATATACTGATAACCAAAGATGAATACAAGTCACATTTGACTTCTGCAGTTACAAAAGGTGCTTAAAGTGGTTACCATCAGCCTAAGTTTAATACAGTTTTTTCCTTTCTTAAAATGTGTATACATTTTTTTGGCACCCTCTGTGTACACACACACACACACACACACACACCCCACACACAAGTGTTTGATCGAATAATATAGCCAAACTGACCATCACAGATTCCCTTCTAAAGACTCCCTTGTAGAGGAGGAAACATCCTCACCCAGTTTCTCCAGGAGCTGAAGGACTCTGTGCTTCCAAAGGGTGACATGAACTGCTTTCCTAATCCAGAGCAGCAATTAGATTCTCTCTATGAACATCATTTCTGGTGAACTGGTTGCAGCTGGGCCCATCGACTCTCTAAGGAGGGTCTCCTTTCATCCCTGAAGCTTTCATTTGTGTAGCTCAAGTTCTTATTTATTTGTTGATTTTTACTAGTCAAGCAAAGTTTCCAGTTAAAAATAAAAATCCCCACCACCACCACCAAAAGCATTGCAATTAGAATTTGCCAAAANACAAAGGAAACACAACTGATTATTAAAGGAATGAAAGAGCTGCTTTGTGCACTTTATAATTTTCAGAAGTTTCTTGCTCATGATCTCATTTCGGCACTTTTAACACCAAGTTCCTAGAATTATTTTGCTAGCTAGTGGGAGAGTTTTGATTAGAATCCAGGGCTCTATGTATTGTTCGCTGCTCTGTATCCTGTGGTCCGGCTCCCGAGTGGTCACATTGTGCGAGTAAAGAGGTGAACGCCACATGAGTGAGAGAAGAACAGAGAGGCCATCCTGCCTGGGAACCCCGTGGTGCAGGGAGTGAAACAGGACATCTGCACCCAGGTTGCCAATATCCGAGAGCTATGAGTTCATCAATACCCGTGGCAAGCTACACGCCTGCCTTTGTCCTGTACGATTGCTTCAAACACTGAGGATGCTTGGGATTGGATACTGACAGACTGTGCACATTACATGTGCCAAATTTTGTTTTTTTAAATTGAGGTTCCCAAACAATTTCCCATGGAGTCAACTCAGTTGAAAATACCCGTATTATGTAAATATATATATAAATTATATTTTAATGTATTAATACGCTATATATTGGATAACATAATTTAAATATATTTATATACATGTGTGTATATTCACATCTATATATTTATAGGCATATACGTCTATGTCTCTATTTATATGTATAAATATAGATATAATAGCATGTCTATATATTTATGTATACTGTAATATGTATACATGTATATACATATGGAACACATGTATATATGCCTTATACATATATATATATATATATAGATTTAATCTGATTGGATCATATGGTTTTTCAAAATCCACCTGGTAATCATGACTCTGGTGGTGTACGTGCTACCCAGAAGTCACATGCAATTATTCTAAATTGCTCCTCAGATACTCACAAAGGTAATGCATCGTTAAGAGACAGACCGCACTGCTTTCCGTGGGAGTGCTGTGATTAACATAAAGGCTGTCAGGCTCCCAGCCCTCCCCTCTCCTCCCTAAAATTGATGGGTTTGGTAGTAAGCTGGGTGTTGCTGAGGCATCTGCCCT